AAGCGAGCTTTGAGTTTTAGAATCTGGTTCAGAAAGTTTTAACTTATTGAATTCAATAAGTTTTTAGTTAAGTTTAATGAATTTTTGTTCTGCTTGGTTGGCAAGTTCATAGAGATCTTTAAAAAGAAAAGCAGTAAAAAATGTAGCAGTATGAGGTTGGTTGGATAAAAAGATAAAATTATCAATAGTTAGGTAAATATATTTAGAAGCAGGTGAGGTTTGAAAGAAAAGTTTAAAAAAGTGAGTACAGTCAATTCTCTATAAATACACCTATTTGGGAATAAGCCAAACTATGTATTTACAAAAGGATGTATTTATAGGAGAAGAAATTTTATTGGCTATACGTGACGATAGTTAATTGACCAATCAGGTTGTTATACAACTATAAGTTTTTTTACTATACATAACTTTCTTTAACGCTATCTTTTATAATCTAACATAGTTCCAAATATAATTTACCGATTCACTAAAATCTATTTCTATTTTCTTTAAATATATACGAATTTATAAAGTATTCTTGTAATATTATAAGTTAATAAAATTACTATCAATTTAAGAAATCTTCGTACTGTATAATAAATCAGTAGTAAGTTCATATTATAGATTAAAGATTTTGCATAAGTAACTTTATTTTACCAAAACGTTCTTACTAAAATAACTGAAATTTTAACTTTTAGAAGCTATAATTTATATTGTTCACATGAAGGCGCTAAAAGAATTTTTTTTATATTTCTTAATTTACTTATTATATTCAAAAAGTCTTATAAAAACTATCGCTAATTAAAAAATTTATTTATAGTAGATTGTTTCATTGAATTTATCATTTTTAAGTTAATATATTTATTAAGAGCATTAATATTTTTTAATAACTCTTTAGAATCTTCCTGCTGTTGTAAAAAGATTGAATGATTTCTAAAAATCTTAAGGCATCATGAGTATTTACGATTAAAGGTTCAGTGCTATCATCATCATCTTTGTAATTATTATCTTGTACTTCTAATAGTTTTTTATATAATTCAACAAGCTCTTCAATGATTTTATCATTGTCAGAAACTTCATAGATTACTTTTTCTTGTGGGTT